ATGGGGAAATGGATTAAAGCTATGTAACCTGGACAAAACTCCAGGTTTAATTCTACACCAGTGGCTGAAGCACTGAGGAGTTTCCAGGTTACAAACACTGGGAGCAGAGACATGCACATTTAGCAGGGCAGGGCTGGAGGCTGCCCATGCAGGACCAGCTCCATGTGTCCCCCTGCCCCTCTCCTGCAGGCTGGGCACCACATGCCAGGAATGCTGCTCTGACTCTCCCTTCCCATCCCTCCTCCCTTTCACCCCCCCACACATCCTGATATTATTGGCAAGCTGTTAAGTACAGAAACTCCAGGGCTGATAACGCTGCAAACCTCATTTTGGGCATGTCAGTCTTTTTTAATGGTTTTACCTGCGCAAAAGGGAGCAATGATGAGCCCTGTTAGCAAGGCAGGGAAAAGCAGGGTGGTAGGGAAATCTCCTCTGGATTAAATCCTCACTGGTGGGAGGATGCTGGTACAGCCCATTTAGTTGCCTTGAATGTGCCTGGAGGCAGCACCAACCTGAGCTAATCCCAGTGCTGAGCTTCATTTCCCCCATCACACTGTCTGCCCTTACAGATGGGCAAAATCATACGACCATGGAATGGTTTGGCTTTGGAGGGACCTTAAAGATCATCTCATTCCAAACCCCCTGCCACGGGCAGGGACATTGTCCACTAGACCAGGTTGCTCAGAGCCCCATCCAGCCTGGTCTTGAACACTTCACTCCCAGAGATGGAGCATCCACAGCTTCTCTGGGCAACCTGTTCCAAAAAACCGGACACAGGGTGGCCGTGAAGGCCATTCAACAGGGTGCCCGTGGGCAACCTGGGCCTGACACCCACTCAGCACTGGATCTCAACTGATCACTTATTCTTCCCAAAGAGGTCCTGCCTTGCCCCCCAGGATGGGGAAAACACAACCATCCCAGTCTCCCTCCCTCCACAGCCTGGCCAAAGCACTGCCACCACTCCCACGAGAGAAAGCCTCCTCTGGCAATCAGGATTCACCCTCCTCCCCCCCATTTGCAAATGTCTTTAAATCTATTTTATTAACTGTAGTGCCCTCTGAAGAGAGTCACTGAGAGGTTCAGTTCATATATAAAGGATTTACTTAGATTAAGGGCCCCCATAAAGGCCTTTGAACATGGAAACTCCTTCCCGTTCTCAGCTGGCCTTGCTGTGCACACATTAAAAATGCATGCAGGCAGCATGAGCCAATATTCCTTAACCTCCTGCTTTGCTTGCAAAACTCAGCTTCCAGAAAAAACATATATCTCAGGGAGATGAATAAACACATGTCCCCTCTGCTCAGAGCTCACATTCAGCCCCTGCAGCCTGCCAGCACCAGGTGGATGATGGTCAGAGCCCAGAGGACATCAGGATGTGCCACAGGCAAAGGAGAACGGTCATGGCTGTGGCAGGAAAGTCTTAAAAGAAAAAAAAAGCTCTAAGAAAATATGAATAATCCTGGTTTATTGGGACCTGCAACAAGAAATCTTGTTGTCCTTCAGAGAGCTGACTTTGCTTGAGAAAACTTGGAAAGGGAATGAGAACTCATGCTCCAAAGCACAGGAGAAGCTTCACACAACATCCCTGTACAGCCATGCTGCTACAAAATCCTCCAGGCTGGCTTGGAAGCACTTAGTGCCAGTCACTGTGGGAATGGGGGAATGGAATTAATGGGTGCGAGTCGGGTCTGCAGTGGAAAATCCTGGCTGTAAAACAAAGGTTCCTTGTTCAGGGACAGCCACGGATGGGCACAGTGGTAACTTCTCCCTGAAACTGCTGACAGTCCTCCAGATAGATGGAGGAAAGGATGTGAAACAATAATAACTTAAAAAATCTCCTCTCCCTAGTTGATGGGCAATGCTACATGAGGATCTGTTCTTTGTCCCCAGGTACAGCCCTGTAAGACAACAGAGGGATGAAAATCCCAGGAAAAGGTTCCTATCCCTTTACCACAGAGCCTGTGCTCCCAAATGAGACCGAGAGGGCTGCCTGTGCCCTGATGAGCAGGAAGGAGTCAGTCCCATTAGCCAGGTGAACAAAGACATTTCTCACCTCCCCATTTCTGAGAGGGGAAAAATCAAACATCAAAAACTAAGGGAGTTTCCCAGGGAGTTGTACAGCACCCAGAGCAGAGCCAGCATCCAAATGCAGTTCCATGCATCTGCTTTCCCTTCAGTGCATGTCTTTATCCATAAAACCATCTTTCATCTGAATATGAACACCTTAAATTAAAGAGAGAAAATGTGCCTTTTCCCAGGGAGGCACCTATGAGCCTCTTATCATCATGGGCACCACCCCAAAAAATCACCCAGTGCAGTGGTGGGGTCCTTGCATCAAAACACTTCTTTAACCAGCGAGGAAACATCATCTGGGCTGTTTGCACAAATCTGGTTTTGCATCATTTGAGCCCATCCCCTGCCAGGAGGTGAGTCAGGGATGCCCCATGCTGGAGGGTGATGCTGGAGGGTGGAAGCAGCCCCTGGGATGGGGACAGGGCAGGGGCTGTAGCTACAGCTGCTGTGGATTAAGCACAGCCTTAACAGGGCACTGTAAACAAAACATTGCATTCAACATCTTTTTTTGCCATGTTTTGCTGCTTGTAGCTTGTTTCTTGGAAGAAACACTCTGTCATCTCAACAGAGCTATCCTGATAGCTATCTGGTGTACTCCATGAAACAGGATTTTTCTGGCAAGGTTCATGTAGCTAGAAATTATTAAGGCAGAAAGACTAATTTTGTTTCACTGAGTAGCATACAAGATTGATTTTTATTTTTCTACAAGCCATGAAACTTATTTAAGGACAAGTAATAGGCTTTAGGATTTCTTTCACTCTCAATGTGCGTGATCCTGACTGTTAGACCCTAAAATAGGGGCTGGAGCAGAGCCACATTCATGCTATGAGACTGACGACCATACAATCCACACACCAGCCTAATTTCACTGTATTTACCACGTTTTTGAGCACAGTGCCTAAGCTAACAAGACTTTTCTTATTTATTTCAATGGCAGCATCTTCACTGGGAGAGGAAAGAGTACAGACCCCAATCATCAGTGGGGACCCCAATGAGCTGAGGGGCAGAAGTGGCTGATGTGAGCAGCCCCTTCAGGGAGCCAGAGCTGCTGCTGGTTCCCACAAGATTAGATTAATTCATCTGAGATTAGTTTCTATCACTGAGGGTTTTGTGATGGTGTAGCAAGAAATCATCTAGTTTAAAGGAAAAAACACGTAGCGACGGACAAAGCGAGGGCTCTCTGACCACAGGGGACAGCGAGGTGGGAGGGGACGCCCCACAGGGGTATTTTTGTAGAATTTCAGAATTCAATTCTAGTCTAGTCTAGTCTATTTTCCAGCTAATGGAGTGACAGCATTTTCTGTTCCTGCAGAGCTGGCAGTGGGGAGGAGAGGCAGGGTTAATATGCAGGAAAACAGAGTTAGAAGAAGAGGCTCGCTAAGCTCTGTGCTATTCTTGTGTAATTATGGTGCCAAAGGCTTCCAAGATAAAGGATTTTAGTGGGAACTGTAACTGCTGGTTGTAAAATGCATGAGAAGAAGCCACATATCCACCAGAACAGCAGAGCCTCCTTTGTCCCTGGATCCCAGCTATTGCCCAGCCCTCAACAGAACCAACAGGGACTCAGCCAAAGCCTTCCCACAGAACACAGCTCATTCATCCTCTGAGGCAACTCCAGGACCTCCCTCCCTTCCTAGGGAAGGGCTTTTCCAGGGATTACACCCTGCAACCCCTTCCAGTGATGCCCCAGGACTTAAACCCAGCCCTTGCCAAGGCACAGCAGCTTGTGCACGTGGGTTCCCCATTGCTCCCTGCCTCCAAACGCCTTGGATGTTCTTTTCCCTCAAAACAATAATCACTGCAGGCTTCTCCAGGACTCAGGGAATGTAGTCCTTAACTTACAGCACATCTTTATTCCTCAAAGCCTCGTCCCCTGAGTCTCCCCCCCAGTCCTGCTGGGATCTGTCGGGTTTGTGTTCAGCAGATGGGAAAGCACCGAGTCGGTTTTACACGTGAAAAGCTGTTCCCCCTCCAGCAATATCAGTGCAGCTAAGGCAGGGAAAATATGTTCTAACAGTGGAAATCATGGCAGGGGGTGGTGGGCATGGGTGGCAGGGCTGGCAGTGAAGCAGGGACCCCATCCAGGCTGCATTCCCTGCACCCTGGCTGTGCCTGGCCCTGCAGACTGTGCCATGCTACCCCCAACCAGAATAGCAGCAAGACACATGCTGTGGAGAAAAGCAAATGTGTTCTATAGCTGGGGATGAAAACACACACACATTCCCCTACAAAAAAGGAGGGAAGGTACTTTAGGCTGAGAACTCATCCCAGTTATAGCTGTGTCCTAATGAGATGTTGTCAGATTAATAATACAAATGCACACTAACAAGAAAACCAATTGCAAACCAATTTTGCAAGGAGCTGAACAAAGAGCAGGATAACAGCTCTGCTTAATAGGGCTGTCTGCTCCTTTTAATTCCTTCTCCATTGCTCCTTCAATGAGCAGAGGAGGAGCAGCCAGCCCACCCTGGGTGCCAGGGCAGGGGACCCATACCCCCCTCATCCCCTCAGCAGTGTTGTCTCTGACAAACTCAGAGGGAATTTTCCAGCTGTTAGAGACAGAAAAGCCACCTGAGCTCTTCTGCACAGGAGCAGGTGACAGTGGGGACATGGGGTGATACCACAGCTCATGGGCACTGCTGGCTTTCCTGGGATCCCTCAGGTGCACAGTGAACCTGAGCAAAACCCCCAAGAGACATTAAACCCGCCCCTGCTGCCCTCCCCAGGAAGAATAGTGTACACAATTCATCACATTTTCACTTATTTTATCTGAAACTATTCCCAAGCAGCCCATAAGCTGCTTTTACAAGTACCCAGCCTTCACCCCAAAGGCACCCTTGATGTCTGTTTAACCCTACTAAGTGCAGTTTCTAAAGAGTCTGATGTGATTAAATACTAGGAATAGCATCATATTGAAAGGATCTTACCTAATTCCTTTGGTTTGAGCAATACTGTGGAAGGAGAGCCTGGATACTGCAGAGATCACCTGGAAATGAGAGAAAAAGATGCTGGTGTGCTTACTGAGGACAGAGGAAGGTTTAGTGAGGACTCACACACAGCCTGGTGTTTGAACATGGGCCACTGAAATGGATGTGCTCCAGTCCCCCCATGAGTGTCCCAGTGTCACCATCAGGGCTGGGAGGACACTGTCAGTGCAAACACTGCTTTTGGTTCTACCACTGAGCACAAAAGACATTTAACCCTCAGCTATAATCATTCAAGAGCATCATCCGAGGAAACTGCATCCCACACTCATTTAATATGTCCAAACCTGCCCTGATAGGTTTTATGCAACGCTGAGAACCACTGAAAAAACCCTCTTACTTTGTATTTTATCACAAAAGGATTATAACTCCTTTCATGTCTCTCCCCACACAAAGATGATCTTATTGAGGCAGACTTGCCAAGACTGAATGGTTTTGACTTCTTGCAATTCAATAGAGATGCATCATCGGTTTGTCAGAGGTGAGTGCAGACCGTCGCCCTTTTCTGGCAGAAAACAGCCAGAAGTGATTCAACAAGGAAATATTTTCATCAGCATTGCAATAAGGAGCAGTAAAACCACCAGCTTTTTCTGAAAACTCCCATTTTTGATGGAAGTTTTAATTGCTGTGAAGAATTTTCAATGAAGAGGAACAACGAATGGGTTTAGTCCCTTGTAAATATAAACCATGTTTTACTCTTGCTCATATCCATCATTTCAAAGCCAGATTGAAAAAACAAACCTATTATTTTTGGACTGGTTTCCAAAACTGGGATGAATAGAGATGCCTGTGCCTGGGACACAGATAAAGGGCTTCTTGAGAGGTCCCTGCTCAAGGACCCCCAGCTCCCACCTCTCCTCCAGGTGTACAAACCCAAACATCGTGGGGGCTGTTGCTGACTGGAGCTGCCCTGAACCCAACCCAGCAGTGAGGTCCCCTCAGGGATGCTTTATTTAGGGACTGTGTCCCCCCATCCTGCTGAGGGGATGCTCCCCTGCTTTGCTAAGTCATCTCCACACCAGCCACCTGGGGAGCACTGGATTCTCTCCTGGGATGCTGGTGGTACTCGAAGCCTCTCTCCCTCCCACATTATTATCCCAGAGCATCAATCACTGTCTTATCACACACCCTCATGCAAATCCTCTCTGCTGGAAAAGCCATGCAAGCACCAGGTTTGTGGAGAGCACACCAGGCTCCTTGGGACTGAGGAGCCTGAGCTCATCCTGCTGCAGGAGATCCTTCTCCAAACTCTATCTTCTCCACACTTTTGCAACCTCCACCCCTTTAATTTTTCATTTCTTTTACCACTGCCATGAATTCCAGCCTGGCTGCTCCACACGTGGACCCTGAGCCAGGGCAGCAACCAAGGAGCTGCCACAGTTTGGTGTTAAGCAGGTGATTTTCACATGGAGAACAGGGAACAGAACATCCCTGAAAGGCTCCAGGGCTCGTCAGGGCAGAGCCATGGCACAGAACTGCCAGCACGTGGTACCTGCAAACACCAAGACCAGACAGGGGACAATGACTAGAGACCCCTCTGGCACCCACAGCCACGCTCCACAGGGCTTAAAATACTCCAAGAGAAGTCCCAGACTGATTTAATGAGTCTCTTCTGCAACCTATTATTAGATCTCTGAAGTAAAAAATCAGTTTATGAATCAGACAGTTATACCGCAGGGTTTGACTTCCAGGGAAATTTAAGAGAGAAGCTCAGTGTTCTCCTCGCCAACAAGTTTTCCTTTGTTCTTTTATGAGCAGCCCCAAGCTCTGAACATCCTGGCACATCAAAGCCCAGGACCTGGTTCCAGTGAGGAGCCAGGATGCACAGACACACTTGCTGACACCGAGGCTCCCAAATTGATGCTCAGGCACGTAAGCAAAGCGACCCACTTTGAGGGATCAGGTACAAAGAGCATCCCTGAAGCTTGGTATCTCTGAAAGACTGAACAGTGACTGTCCCAACATAAGGGAATATTTTCCCAACAACAACTCCTGCTAAGGCAGTAGCCAAGAGCAAGAAAAGCCAAGTGCAAGCCCAGCTCCTCACAGATCCCATGCTCCAGCCTGCCAGCCCGGGAAGTGCTTAAGCATTCATTTAAGGATAAGTAATCCTCTCAATTTCAACAGGATTAAACAACATTCTTAAAAGTAAGTCAATCCTCAAGTGTTTGCTAAACTGTGTCTCATTTTCCCTATAAAGCAGCTTCTTTGCAGACAAACCCAGGAATAATTTCTGCCACTCCCAGCTCTCGTGTTCGATCAGGCCAGGGGGGATCCAGGTTGTTCCACACCCACACAGCAGCTGGCACCAGGGTCCCTGATCTCATCTGAGGATTTTCCTTGCTTCTGGAGTACCAGGACATACTAATACAACTAATACAGATATTCCAGGTGGTGAGAAGCTGTGGCTGCCTCATCCCTGGAAGTGTCCAAGGCCAGGTCAGACAAGGCTTGGAGCAACCTGGAAGGTGTCACAGCCTGTGGCAGGGGGGTGGAATGAGATGAACTTTAAGGTCCCTTCCAACCCAAATCATTCTGTGATTCTATGACACTAAGTGGAAATATAATTCCCTGGTTATTTATACCTCCCCTTTCTCTCATGGCAGCCTGGAAGTGCAGACTCCTTGTTTCCCCAAGGCAGATGGTACAACCAAAAAAGATTTCTTGCTGTGGGTTATTGGTTCCTTTCAGATTTATGCTGATTATTTCATAAGCTCAGATCTTTGGCTGCTTAAAACTGAAAATCCAGTAGAACTGAGGCTGTTGCACCCTGGAAAGGATGAGCAGGGACACCTTCCACTAGCCCAGGTTGTTCCAAGCCCTGTCCAACCTGCCCTTGGACACTTCCAGGGATGGGGTAGCCACAGTTTCTCTGGGCAACCTGTGCCAGGGCCTCACCACCCTGACAGGGAAAAATTTCTTCCTAGTATCTAATCTAACCCTGCCCTCTGCCAGTTTAAAGCCATTCCCTCTTGTCCTGTCACTACATGCCCTTGTCAAAAGTCCCTCTCCAAGTCATTTGAACAGGCTGTTTGGAAAACTGTACTCTTATCTGAGCGTTTTGCTTCCAGGAGACGGAGGGCTGTGGGATTTAACAACAGATTATTACTATTATTATTACCTCTTCGCCCATTTCCCAACGCAATTTCCTCCTAGAAAACTGCTTTCAGCACACAAGATTACCATAAAAGCTAAATATAAACATTCCACTGACAATAAGATGTCAGGAATATAAACAGGAATATAAAGGTGTGTAATGCAGGTGGTGCACAGACAGAATTTCTCTGCACGAGACCTGCAAAGGGTTAGTGTGAAAATTCTGGTGGTTTTGCCATGACAAGTGAGGAATCCCAGGAATGTGAAGGGCATCCCAGTTTGCCTTGTATTTTTAGACCTGAGCTAAATTCAACCACCCAGCTGATCATCTGCCGACCAGAGAGGCCATCGCTGCAAATCAACAGCACCAGAAAGGGAGCACGAGGGTTGGGCACGTGATTCCAGAGGCTGAGCATCAGATTTAGAAAGGCACCAAGTTCTGCACTTCATGGGAACAGGAAAGAAAATAAAAATAAAACAAAATAATCAAGGCTCCAAGTGGGTTCCTCACATTCACTGGTCATTTTGGAAGAAACCTGACTAAAGAAATGGGGTTTTTGGAAAGAATAGGAAACCAAAAACCACCACACCACCACGATAAGAAATCCACTACTTTTCTTCCTTACTACCAACACTTTCTTTTAGGAATTACAGATTTTAAAATAAACTGAAGCCAAATAGAAAATAAATGATTGTGCTTACTGCTCTTCTACTTCCTTCAGCATTGTTTATTGCTGATGGTATCTCTGAGTATCCAGAAAACTCTAAAATAAACTTTCTCATATTTGAAAAAACAAACTGACCCAGCTGGACTGGAGAACAATTTGCATAGGAGGGACTTCCCAGCTCTTGGAACACCAGAAGTGTGCCTGAGAGTTGGAGTGAGCTGAGGGCTCCCAGCCAGGATGGAGCCCCAGCAAGGATGTGCATTCCCAGAACAAATGGGAGATTTGCTTCTAAGCAGGAGTCTGCACAACAGTGATAATTCTGGACAGGGACCTCTCTGTGTCACCTCTGCACATCCCCTTTCCAGGGGAAGATGGTTTCACAGCCTGGAATTACATGGAGTAATCTTCTGGTCTACCCCTACACAGCAAACACTAAACCAGCCCTTTTCCCTGGACACAGTGCAGCCAGGGTTGCTGCAGCTTCAGCATCCCATAGATTTTGCTGGGAATTCCTTAAATCAACATCTCCTGATAGAACCTGGTACCTGAGAAGAGCATCCCTCTCCATGGCTGTGGCAGGAGGAAATCAGAGATGGTGGGATATTTTCTTGGGATGCCAAGGGAGGGCAGAGCCCCATTAAGATGTCAAGTCAGTTGGATTTTCCTACACCCAGGGCTCTCTCCTCTCAGCTGGACCTCATCCATCCAGCTGCCTGCTGAGGACAAGGACTATTAAATAATAATCCATTTGGACAACTGGTGTGAGCCTTTCCATTGCCTGCCTGAATCATTTTCCCTTCACCTGCCCAGGGATGCCACAGCTTCTCCTCCCATTCCCACTCATGCCAGGTGTGGTGGTTGCTGGCATGTAGCTTCTGGAGAGGTGCCAGCTGAGTGGGTTTGGGCTGATGCATACTTGATAAGGATTTCAAATCAAAGCCAGGGAAGTTTTCCTGTAATGGTGTGTCCAGAGTTCCCTCCTGGTATTTCACTACAGGGCCCACACAACAGATGGGGAACTCTGTGATGGGAGTATAGAAAAGCCTCTTCCCCCCTCCAACAAATACCTATTCCAGGGATCCTGGACTGCCACTTCCATGTGATTTATTGAAATATCAATAACTTGGGACATTGCTGTGGAGCTCTAGATGAGCTTCAGAGCACCCAACAAAACACAGGAGAGGGAAGAACCAGAAACGTAAAACAAAACCCATTTGCCAGAACAGTTGGGGAACACA